AAATATATTGTCTTTCTTTTTGTTAGATGTCGTTAGTTACAAACTTTACTATTCGTAAGTTAATCGTCAATGCATTTAGATAAAAACTACACACACATACACATATAACATTCTTTGTTTCCTTCTAAATGGTTCATCAAGCATGGCTGCTAGTCATGAGAAGAAAAAAAAAATAGAATTTCTATCTATATGTACATAGTTTATTGTTTGTGATTATAATAGTAAATGTGCGTTTTTTTTATTATTCCTCTAGATCTTGTCATTTTTTAACGTCACAAACACATAAATATCTAAAAAAGTGTCTGTGACGATGAGTAACGAGAGCCATCCTTCTCCAACAGGCTCTTCGTCTTCATCTTTATTCGGTAAGATGTTTTGTTTATTTATTTATTTTATAGCTAATAAAAAAAAAAAATTTATGCACAATGCCTGCTTTTTTTCCGTTCATCTATTGTTAATTTTTTTCAAAAAAAAAGAATGAAAATTGCATCGTTATAATTCTATTTTCCTTCTTCTTCTATCTGTAAATAGGCGGTGGTGGTGGTGGTGGTGGTGGTAGTGGTAGTAATACTACCGGTGTTAGTGGACCTTCGCCCTACCCTTCGCCATCAAAGCCCACATGGGCTCAAATTCTCAATTCAAATCCAAATACACCGTCCAATACGTCTACAACTTCATCATTAACAACAACAACAACAACTACAGCTGCAGTAGCAAATACTGCATCTACAGCAGGGAATAACAATAGTGGTGGAGGTGCTGTTGGCAATTCACCATCATCTTCATCACCATCTTCTCAACATTCAGCAACAACTTCAGCAGTAGGAGGTACACAACCATCAGGGGCAACAGGTATATCATCGACGACCAAAAGCATTTCACCCTCTCAAGTAACACCTTTAATCAGCGGTGCATTTAATTTTCCAGGATCACGTGCTGGTTTCATGTCAAATTTTTATGATCAACAACAACAACAACAATCTCAAATGAATTGGCCTTTAAATTTCAATCAAACATCATCATGGATGATTGATGACGATGCACAACGACATTCAAATCTAGCTGGAACTTCTTCACAACAATCACATGATTCTAATCACAATATACCAAGTGGTGGGGATGGTATGAGTTTTCAGTTTTTATTTTGTTGCTTTTTCTACTCTCTAATGTTCTAGCATGCTTTAAATAATATGTTTTTTATATTTATTATGAAAATAATATTCAGTAGTTTTCTATGAATGAAATATTTAGGCTTTGATCGACTTGAATCATCCAGTCCAACATCTGATTGGGCTAAGCCGGTGAACACAAATAATTCAAGTACTAATGGTTGGTCAAATTTTCAACAACAACAAACACAAAATAATAATAATAATCCGTCCAGATCAAATGCAGCTGGAAATAGCAATCCACCAAGCAATCAATGGCCGGAAATAAATACATTTTACGGAACTAATTCAACGACTAGTGTACCATTTAATTTACCTCAAAATAATAGTGATAATGTGATTAATAATAGGTAAAATACTATTAGAGAGTATATTCATTTCACCATATAAATTTTATTGAATATATATATTTCTAGTAGTTGGAAAATATAAAAAAAATTATCATTTCTTTCTTTTTTCAATTTAATTAAAATATATCATATATATTTTTTTCTATTTATTAGTGCATCATCCACATGGCAAGATCCATCGTCATCAGGTAATGCTAATGATACGCTTACATTGTCAACAAGTAGTAACAATGGTTCAGTAATCAATAAACATAAATCTTCTTCATCGTCATCATCAGTAATGGCTGCTTCACTCACTGGTGCGCTTAAATCAGCAATTGCTCTTGGTGGTGCAAATGTTGACCATTTAAGTGGAAATGGTGATGCAGCAGTGTCCTATACGCCACAACCTAAACTTGTCGAACAATTAGGTTGGGATGAACCTGATATAAAAGTAGCTAAACGTGCAAATTTTGATGATGGCACATCTGTTTGGGGTGATCCAGTAGAATCAATTTCTGTTCCAGTAAAAAAAATGGACTAATGGAACAAAAACAGCTTTAACAAATTCGACGAATACTATTTCACAACAACAACCATCTATTGTTCAAAAACCTGTTTCATCAAATGTTCAAAATTCTGTTTCAACACCATCAGCAACACAAATGACACTCAATGATGAAAATTGGCCAAAACAACAATCACCGACGTTAGTACAACAACAACCAACGTCACAATGGAATGATCCATCTACATTAACTGATCAAAGAACATCATCACCAACACCACCTCAACAACAACAGCAACAACAACAACCACCAAATTATCGTACACAACAATCAGCACCACCACAACATTGGAATTCTCATCCTCAACAACAATCAATGCATCATGGTGATGATTGGTTTCGTGATGGAATGGTTGATACAAGTGATTGGGGTTTACAGGTAAGTTTGTGATTTGTATATATATATATGTCATTATATTATTTATTTCTTATTAGGGTTCACAAAATAAAGTTCCATTTGATCCATATGAAGGTCAAGTTGATACAAGTAGTTGGGGAGTACAAGGAGGACCTGGCGGTGGTGGTGGTGGTGGCGGCGGTGGTATGGGTGGATCATTACAAATGTCATCAATGAATCGAAATCGATTTATGAATGATTATGATCTCAGTGAAGGTCCACATGATCCTCATGGTATACATCGTATGGGTGGTTTTGAAAATCCATCGATGGGTGGTGATCAATATCGACAAAATTCTGATCTCAAAAATCCTATCATTGGTCTCGGTGGTTTATTACCACCATCAGCTAATCAACAACCACCACATCATATGTTACCACCATCTCAACTTCCATTTGCACCACGACCTAATTCACTCTATCAACCAGGTAATATTTTACGACCAATTAATCCAAATGGTATTCCAACACCATCTGGTGCTATTATGGGTACGGGTGGTCTTATATCACCTAAATTATCAACAACATCACCTGTACCGAATCAAGCACCCTACGTTCCATTAACTGGTAAACAAAACAATATGCCAACACAATCATCTCAAACCCCAACACCACAACAACAGCAACAACAGCAACAGCAACAGCAGCAACAACAACAACAACAACAAGGAGGATCAGGAAATATTAATAATGTTGCAGTACATGCTCAGATTATGCAACAATTTCGTCTTGCTGTACAAGCGGGTTTAATTAGTCAAGATTTGCTCAATACTAAATTACCACCATTTATGTTACAAGTAAAAATAATTGTTTAAATTATTCTCTTTTTTCTAAATTTTGTTGTTTTTTAAAGCTTCTCCAAAAATTATTTGAACTTCAACAAAAATATCAGTCATTATCCGTTCAGTTATCTGATTTTTCCAAACATAAACAACGTTTTCCAATAACTTTCTTCCAAACTGAATACGAACGTTTATCAAAATTAATTACACAAAAAAAACAAGAAATGTTAATTGTTCAAAAACAAATTCAAGATGCACATGCAAAATTAGTACAACAACAATCAGGTGCACCTACACCAACACCATCACAAATGATGTCTAATGGTCCAGGAGCTCAAAGTCAAGCACCACCAGGTGCATCATCAACACAATCTCAAGATCAACTAGCTGATCGTATGCAAAATACACTTAATGTTGATCAGTCACGTTTACATCAATGGACAAAACAACAAACAGGAACACGAGGACCACAATCATCATCATCATCAATGTTTGGACCACCAGGTATAACACAAAGAGATTGGCAAACAAGTGGACATCATTCAAATGATAATTGGGAAAATAATCAAACAAATGAATCAAATACTAATAATCAAGGTAGTAATGTTGATCCTCATGCACATAATAATCAAGCATCATCAGCAGCATTTGGTGATGCATTATCAGAGTTCGTTGATGATATTGAGGGTCCACCACCATTTGTACCTGGTCAATTATGGAATTGGAAATCATCATTACCAAATGCAGAAGATGATCCACATGTAACACCAAGTTCATTACCAATTGGTCCAAAAGGACCATCATCATCAATGGGTAATCTCAATGTTGGTGGGGCTGATAGGTAAAGAAAAATGAAAAACAAAATGTTTATGTAATAATTTATTTAAATAAATTTTAGTGCCTTTTCAAATCCTCAATTACTTCATCATATGCAACGTCAACAACAACAAACAAATCGATCACAATGGCAACAAGGTTCCATGCATGATCAACAAGGCTTTCAATCATCGATGAACGACTGGGGTAAACCACAACAATATCGAGGTACATCAAAACCACCACCATCGCTCAATCATCCACCACCTCATGCGTCTTTCGGCGGCTATCGACCATATATGTAGTAGTAACAACGACAGACAAAACAAAAATCGCGAGTTTATTTCATTTTTGTTCTTTCTTCTTTAATTTTTCTTTTTTGTTTTTTTTTCTCTCTTTCGGCCAAAACAAAGTCAGTGAAATGATAAAACTGTGTCCTATTTCTCTTTGTCTCATTACAATCGTGTACATTTACATTTCATGCTCTTTCATTATGTGTATCTATTAATGTCGACTATATTTGTGTGAGTTTCAGATGGAATTTTTTTTTCTTCTGTATTTCATATCTGTTTTTCTTCTTTTTTTCCGCTGATGATGCACTGCACCGCACTGAGAATTCCCTCCCGGTACCATCCAATTTTTGTATGTTTGTGATGTGAATGTCTATTGTTTTCTTTTTCTCTTCTTTATTATTATTATTGTGTGATGTACGCTCTTATTTGATGGCCGAGCTTCATATCGACAAAAAGTACAAACAAACGAACCAAAACCAAATAAAAAGAGATCTACTACTATTGTGCTGTGCTGCTCACGCACGCGTGTGTGTGCAATAAATCTTTTTTTGTCTCTCAACTCATTAGTTTTTACTGTCAATATCTCTTTTTTTTTTCTTGCACAAAAAAAAAAACAAATTTTTCTTTTTCTTTATTAAACAATTTGTCTACTTCTTGTAGTGTGTGTGTGTGATGCTTTTAGTTATATATCTCTGTATGGTTGTGGTGCGTGTGCGTAAATCAATACATTTAAGCTTGTCTTTGCTCTAATTTTCTTCCTTTCTTTTTTTTTGTCTTGGCGCTATAACAAAAAGCAAATCAATTACATATATACATATATACATAGAAGATCTATTTTAATCGAGATTCAGTTGTTGTGAATGAAATTTTCACATACATGTGTGCACGCCGATAGATTGAATGCGTGTTTGTGTTTGACATATTTCAAGGAAAACAAAAAACAAAAAGATGGTGATCAAGAGATAAACAATGAGTTTTTCTTCTTTTGTTCTTTTTTTTCGCTGTGTATAAAAAACAAGCAAATAAGCCTCTTTTTGTGAATGTGTGTGTATATCTGTTTCTCTTCTTTTGGTCGTGATGAGCTGAACTTTTTTTTTTAATGTGACTTTTTCTCTTCCCTCTCTCTTTCTCTTTTTTCTGCGCATGTTCTCTCAAACTCTACTCTATACTAATAAATACAATAAAATTTGACAAAAGTTTGAAAAAAAAACATATATACAATGTATTTTCAATTCATTGCATACTAACAAAACAAGAATAGCTTGTAGTAGTCAATCAAGAATATAATATAAAGGTATTATATTCTCATTCATTTTTAGATGGCATCATCTATTGATTTACATCCGCCGGTATAATTTGCATGTTTATTTTAATAATATAATAGATAATTCAATTTTTCATTAGATCCATTGGGGACAAACATTAAATAGCGTGTCATTACGTATTGGACTTACAGATGTAAAAGTATGTATTTAATTTTCATATAATCGAGATTTAAGCACTAGGAAAAATAAATAATTTCCTAGATAAAAAAAAACGATTAAGTTTACTAACAAAATATCAACTAATACTAATATTTGAACAGGATATGACGATTATAGAAATATGTCTATGATTACAATAGTTCAGTTATACTATAGTGACATTTAAAATTACGAGATGAAAATGATATACTTATTGATGTAATCGATTAAAAGACAAAGAAATAATATTTTCAATATGTCGCATTATCGATTATATTTTTTTTTTGATATATTTATTTGGTTTTTTGTTCCTAGTATCCAAAAGTTGATATTAATGAATCGAGTATTAAATTTCAAGCAACTGGATGTAGTGGATCACGTGGCGAGCAATTATATTCATTTGAAATTGAACTTTTTGAAAAAATTGACGCAAAAGTAAATTAAAATAAGAAAAAATAATAAATGATTATTTATATTATTATAATTTAGACTAGTACCTATAGAATAAATGATCGTGAGATAAATGTTAATTTAAAGAAAAAGAAAGGCGATACAAATAATGCTTGGCCACGTCTTACTAAAGCTTCTGCTAAATTACCTTGGTTAAAGGTAGAATTTAATACTAAAACAAAATCATCTTTTTCTAATATAGAATTGAATATTTCTAGGCTGATTTTGATAAAATGGCATTTAGTGAAGATGAATCTGATCAAGAACAAAAAAAAGCCAATGTTTGTAAGTAAAAATAAAATGATTAACTATGTTTTTCGATATTATTTTCTCATAGAACAATAACTTTAATGATGATATGTATAAATCACTTCGTCAAGATCCTCGCAAAACGAAACCAAAAGGTATTATTTCTTTCATGTTATGTAGAACATTCCTATTCATATGAATCTGGTCGATGTGCTAGTAAAATGACATGCACAAATGAGTCTTCTACTAATAGACATAAAAAAAACATTTAGATTTAAGATAAATATTACTAAATAATTGATAAATTAGAAAGATAAGATTAGTTCAAGTGTAGGAAAAATGCGAATTTATTCTATTTCTTAACCCTTTACCCCCTGGCGCGGTTTTAGAAGAGCTACTGATGAAACAACGATTGGAATAGAGTATTGGTGCCTCCAATATGCTAAAAGTATGGACAGATCGATCAAACACAGACTTGAGTTTTACGGTAGTATGCTGATGGGTATCGACTTGAAGAAAATTCTCAGGGACTTTCCGTAATACTCATGTAGTTCGACAAGAAAACATCTTAGAGAGCTTGGAGACGTCTTATTTTGCAGAGAATTGTTCACTCTATAATGTTACATGGTTTAAACAAAACGTTATTATCGGGTTGTGAACGTCGAGAACCTAAGGTGTTGATTTTCTAAAATCCTCGAGTGACCATTGTCTGCTTTAACATATCTTACCTATCTAATTCTTTTCGTATTTTTCTGTAATTATCGATTTTAAAAGTCATATATCTCGGAGACAGAGCAACAAAACAAAATATTCTTTTTTCCAATCGATAGCTTATGGAGTTCCCTACAAATATTGTTTTGAGAGTTTTCGAGTATCATGCTTCCTTTATTTTCCAAAAAACGTTTTACGAATGGGTCAGAAATGATCCACCAAGGGGTAAAGGGGTAAATTTGACGTGACTCATATTGATGACGACTACAGAAGTATTTATATTATATGTATTAGATTACTCACAATTCGAATGTTAGTATTGCGTTTTTCATAATACGAAAACATGTATATACGATCTTTATCAATAATAAACATAGTATATGAAAATATATAGCCGTAACTGTGACGAAAAATATTGACTATGTCAACTATTATTTATGACATTTTTTTTACAAAATTCATATGTTATAATTTTTATTGAATATTCTTATATTTATTAAAGCTTTTCTTGATCATCGAACAAATTGGTTACTCTTCTATAATTTATTTCAATTTACGGCTTATTTATTGGTATTTAGTCGTTTAATATTCTATTTTATAGCCAGAGGACGTAAGTTTGATAAACAAATTTATATTCTCGAATTGAAAATATATATCTTATTTGAAGATCTACGAAATGCTTATAGACTTGTTGAAAATCCAATAAAATTATGTCAATCTTTAGCAGTACTTGAAACGATTCATCCATTAATTGGTTTTACTAAAGGTGATTGGACATCACCATTAATACAAGTAAAGTCTTATTCAAAAAAAAATAACTAAGACATATTGATTTATTTAGTTTCTTGGTCGAAATTTAATTTTATTTGTTGTTATTAATTTTAATAATGAAATAAAAGCATCACCAGTTGTACCTTGTCTATTCTTAGTATGGAGTTTCGTTGAACTTTTTCGGTAGGGAAAATAAAAAAAAAAATATTTTTCAACTGAAAATTTCTTTTTTCTTTTCAAGTTATCCATATTATGGTATTCGTCTATTAAATAAAGATAATCGTATAATTGCATGGTTACGTTATACACTCTGGATTGTTCTTTATCCATTAGGTGCATTTCTTGAAGGTAAACTAATTCGTTTGTTTTTGTTCAATTAATATCTATCGATATATAATTTTTAGGTTTAACTATTTACAAAAGTCTTAATTATTATCAATCGAAACGTTATTTCAGCATCGATTTACCAAATGCAATGAATTTTTCTTTTAATTTTGTTCTTTTTCTTCAAATCTACTTAGTATTATTACCATTAGGTAAATGACAAAAAATCTTTTATACATTAAAGAAACATGTTTTTTTGTTGTTTAGGTCTTATTCATATGATGCAACATATGTGGAATCAACGTAAAAAGACATTAATAAAAAAAAATAAATAAACGACATTCTCCTTCTTCTTCTGTTTCTTTCCTTACGAAATATTCAGATAGATGATAAAAAATAAAATTCATTTTATCATTGTAGATGCCGGCAGTAATTGCATCATCGAATTTATTAATAGAAAAAACATTTCGAAGATTATTATCATCAACTGAACAACTTTTAGAAGAAAAATCTATTGAAGAATGGAAACTTGATCAAGTAATTGATAATAATAAGAAACAAAAAATCGAATTCATGTTTTTTTTCTCAATCTTCAATTTTAGTTTATTAATGCATTAACAAATATGTTAAATGATATGCACAAATCGATGAAGTAATAATTTCTTAGGTTTTTAAATAGAAGAAAAGAAGATTTTTAATGTTTTTACAGTCGACCAGCTAAAAAACAATTAGATGAATATAAACAAAGAATTGATAAGCTTCGTCAAAGTCTTGATCCTATTAAATTAGTAAGTATAATTAAGACGAAGTCACGTTCTTTTTTCTAGACAACCTCGTGAAAAATGTACTCGTAAACTTATCTTTCCTTCATAAAAAATACATATCTATTATCTCATGGGATGGTTCTATCTAAATTCAACTTGAGTTTAAATTAAAAACTGACACCTTCAATTCATACTTTGAACTACGGAAAATCGGAGCAAATCTCTAGCGAATGGATTAAGTAATAATGATGACCAAGAATACGTTCCGAAAAAGAAAATGAAATACATACTTGACAGTTCGAGTTTTTTTTGCGAATGTATTCTTTTATATTCTAGTAGTGAAAAGGAAATTCCCACGATGTTTAACGAAGATACTCTCATTTAGTATGAAAGTAATGGTATAATATTCAGGGAATATAGGAATAAATGTAATTCTGTCTCACTTTTTGGTACCTTTGAACTCTATAATAATCTCATTAATGTTTTCTGGTGATAATCTTGGCTAATAGCTTTATAATCACATTGAATATTTCATTAAAATTATGTATTGTGAAATTATTTCCTGTGATAGATTAGTCATGATAATTACATAGAATTCTTTTTTTCTAACGAATCATTTTACGCAATAATTAACATAATTTGTTTCAATTGTATTAATATTAAATTTTCAAGTCCATTCTTTACATACTATCTTATATCCTAAACCTACGTTTACAACAATCTTATATTACGTTTGTCACGTAATTATCAATACGATAGATAATATAAGATTTTTCAATTAATTCTTTTGAAAAAAAATATTAAATCTATATTTAAGGAGGATCAAACATTTCCACGGCAAGTTAGTCGTCCAATCCAAACTGATTCGATAGTTAAAGAACAACAACAACCGGAAATCCCAACTCCTCCAATGTCTTCCAGTCAAACAGAAAAAAATCTCAGTACATCAAATAAATCTGATCGTCGTAAGTATACTATAATCTAATAGTTTAAGACAAAATCTTTTAATCAAATACTAACGATATTGTTTTGTTTTATTATTGTCTAGATAATTTAAATAGACAACAACAACATATACAATCGGAAGAAGATAGACACGAAGACGTTCTGCAGTATTTTTAAGACTTTTAGTTGTGTCTATCATAGATGTTGCAACGTCTTCGTGATATTGTTAAAGATGATCAAAAAGTTCGTATTTTATTGTTTTCCTTTAACTCTACAAAATTTTCTTTATAGAAAATTAGTGAAGCCGAAACATTAATTGATCATAATACAGCTAAACTTAATGTTCAAAGTAAACGTTTAAAACATAATGCATATAATGTATCAAATTGTTGGATATATTTAATGTTAATTGTTGTTATTATGACATTTATTTCTCTAACAGTATTTATGAGAATGTTTCGTAAACGAACAACAACAATAACATATTCAAATAAAGATTCTAAATCAAGTTTATTAAGTAATTCAATAAATCAAACAACAATCAATAATACAAATATAACAACAACAAAATCGACAGACTATATTAGTTTATTGTTAAATTATGCGAATGAAAATCATACAGATTTATAAAAGCAGAAATTTTAATTTATTATATTAATCTTATTAATAAAAAACTATTGAAAAACAAAAAACCTAAAAAGAAATCTTGTAAGAAGAGAAAAGCGAATGACTGAAAGAATATTCTTTAATACAGAAATATGATATTTTCTGATGTTGCTCAAAAAGAAAAAAAAAGAAATTCTCTTCCTTTTTGTATTGTATTCGCGCTGTGATCTCTCTTTTCCTTAGTACATCGGTTTTTTGCTGATAGTTTACAATGATTATTTGTTTGTATGTGGTCCATCTTTAAACACGAGAGGGAGAGAG